AAATAATGAGACTGTATAATACAATTAAATAAGCTTAATTATATTTACTACTGTTCTTATTCATACATAACACATATAGATATGTATACGCTATAGGTATACATATGCTTTATTTATTCCAATTAAAATTAGAACCACAATCCAGATATAACTGTTTCCTGTTTTTTTAGATTTCAGTTACGGATATAAACTATGCAATTGTTAATATAAAGAGGCAAAAATAATATAATACGATAAGGATTAGGGTAAAAATATTTTTATGTTTGTGTTTTGAATGGGAACGTGCGTTTTAAAATTAAACCATTGAATTATGAATCAAATATTGTTGGGATTAGGTACAAATTGCAATATGATAATGTATAATCAAATGTTACACATGCAGTTATTTTTACTTAAATATTATTACTCTCGGATCTATAAAGTATTTCCATGTTTATTAATTTACTACAATAAAACTTGAAAACTTTGTGTAAGTGCCAAAAATTATTTGATCATTATACTTTCAACTTAGAGTATTACTTTCTAGTAATACTTTTAGAAGTGCCTTTAATAGAATCAAAAGTGCACTCATTACCAAATTAAATGTATTACAAAAGAACACGACTGCAAAAGTACGCGCATTGAAAGTACAGGTCTTATAAAAGTACGTAGCAATATAAGGACTTTGTTTGTGCCTTCATTGAATTGAAACATAAATGTGTATAGCACATGTTTGCCAGTTTATTGTCAACTTCGAAAAACAAAACGAGCAACCTGTGAAAAATTTGAAAAAGGAATGTATTTTAAAAATTCTCGTAATTAATGCGAGGTCACGTGGAAGTTTAGCGACATGGTAAGTCGGGTACCGCAAGCCTTTAACATTTTTATAAATTAATTCAGTTATTTCAAATCAATAAAACATGTCAATAAAAACATAACAGTATTCATAAACTATCAATGGAAAAAACACTCTAAACTGATTCAACCTATATAAATGTTTGGAAACATCCACCTTAATCCATTAATTTAAATAAAACGTATTTCAAATCGTTATTCACAGTTCAACAACTTGTTTTAGTTTTCAGTGATGAAAAGTGTATAGCCAGCTTTGCATAAATGTTTAAAAAAATGGTGTCGATAGATCGATAAACTCTATTACGTCACTATTTCCTTTCGTTACGTCAAAGGGGTGTTTTTGTAAAATGGATCGTGTGAAATTACCAAATAAAAGTCAAGGTAACGAGGATTAACTGTAAATATTGATTCTTGTACAGACGTAAGTGTAGGTAATAAGTGGGCATTTTTACGTCAACTCGCGATTGCTTATATTTTTTATTTTGTTTAAACATATGTATATTATAAGATTTGGTCACATCAAACGATGTAGCCATTAGAGAAGTGGAAGTATGAAATAACTCTCCTTTTTTTTATTATGTAATAGGTCGACAAACGAGTAGACGGATTACCTGATGGTAAGCAATCAGCGCCGCCCTCATGGACACTCGCAACGGAGGAGTTACGAGTGCGTTGCCGACCTTTTAGGGATTAGGGATTTGGATATTTAGGGATTGAGGAGGGATTGGGGGAAGGGAAGGATTGGGCCTCCGATAACCTCACTCACACGGCGAAACAAAACGCTGTGGTTATTTCACACCGGTTTTCTGTGAGGCCGTGGTATCACTCTGGTCGAGCCGACCCATTCGCGCCGAAGCATGGCTCTCCCACACTTAAACATCTGTCTACCTTTAATCCAGGTATTTTAAGGTAGACCCAGGAGTTTGACCTATTAAATCTGTACCACGTTCTACTATTTAAGTTTTAGATTTCCTAGCAAGCAGTACAGCAATAGAAATTAGTCTAAACGATATGTTTATGACAAGTCCAAACACTAGAATACATACATCGCACCATGTTTATTTCCAAAGAACAATGTTCTCTTTCAGCGGCACGTCAACGAAACAAACAATGCCGAGAGACGTCAATGCATACAGTTATACATTATGGATTTATGTTAGAAATATAAATATGTACATAAAACATTGTCAGATGAATCCGGTTTATTGAATATTTGTGAATAAATAAAATAGATCAAAGATTTCTTGCCATGGCATCATTGTTTTTTTTTTAAGATTTTGTAATGTCGATCTGAATTTGTCAATGGACACGGTTGTTGACCGTGTTACAATAAGAAAAAACAATGTCAGGTACTAATATATATTTAAAAATGTATGATACCAGGCCAGATAAAGATGTAATAGAAGAAATGAGTGAGTTACTTTAATGGTGTTTGGAGACTCAAGTGCGCATTGGCGGATTGGTTCTGTAATGGCTTACCATCAGGTGGTCCGTTAAATCATTAGTTTCCTGTCTCTCTTTATAAAAATATCACTACGCTTTTGTTTTTGTTTTCGAAAATCAGAATCAGACTGATTTATCTACTCAACTACTTGATACTACGCCAGGCTGAGAAATCCAAACAGAACTTTAGCGCTGCAGTGATTTTTGAAGAAAACAGCGTGTGTTGAAGTCTATGGTATATTCGCAACTAACTCCAACATTATGTCAGTGGACTGTATTCGATTTAACTCTCGAAACAAAATAAAGTATTTGGACAAGCAATAATTCGTTGGTTCTACCGCCCTAGATTTTCCGAGAAACTTCGCTTATGACGTCAAGTTTAGTTGTTAATTATTTATCAAATATACTCGAACTACGTTCATAAATAGAATAAAGAATAGCTTCAGTTCCGCGTATTGTTCTATAGAAAAGCTAACATTACGATGCAAACTCATTAGTTTATAAGCTTTAAAGAAAAATAGCTCAAGGACATAATATAATAAACGTTAAGTAGATATAAAATTAAGGCTGTTTGCGAAAGGTTACAATCAGATTAATAAGTTAATCGTTTTAATTATGATTCAATGTTTTTACCTAGAAAAGTTGAAGGTCACACGATGCGCGACACGATTATATTTTAACGGTAAAATTAAGTAAGTAGTTGTATAGTTAAAACTTGAAAATTACCTACAGCTTTTGTGATAACTGTTAATTACAGTACAGGGAACCCAAATACGTCTTTCTTTATACATTTGTTTTCTTTTTCCTTTGTTTTATTGCCTAATTTTTGTACATTTATCCAAAGTTACCTGAGAAAAAAAAAATATCATTCTTATTCTCCAGAATCAGTCACCATAGCCATTTTTAAGGGGATATATCGTCAGGATTACTCTTCAGGCTAAAACCCACTCAAGCCTTCTCCCAGGCTGAAGCTATGGTACATTATTGCGCTTGACTGGCAAACTCGGCTGAATATCAGTTATATTAGGCCTACCACTATGTATTAAAGCGTGTATATTCCGGGCTAGAAAGAGGGATAGAGCTATACACCTTGTATAGCTCCATCCCTCTTTCTCGCCTTAACACGTCATGGTAGGCCCTATGGTCTGTACTCTTTGAGGCGCTCTGAGCGCTACGCATGGCGCAAATAAACGGCTGATGGTATATACTTTATAATATTATAAAGAGGTAAAATTTGTAAGTTTGTATGTAGGGGGTACACTTTGGAACCGCTGGTCGGATTGCCAAAATTCTTCTTCTTTTCTTCTTCACTGATAGATAGCTACAAAGTTCCTGAGTGCTATAGGCTATAAAACATCACGCTACAATCAAATGGAGCCGAGCAGCGCGAGAATAGCTAGTTTAAAATAAATGAAATATCGACATGTTTGTCACATTGTTACAACTTACCAAAACATCTGTAAGGAATCAGGTACCTAGTTTTCGTTTGAATAGGTACTTATGTTAAATGCATGACTGAAATAGTGATATAATCTGTATAGTACTTAACCAGTGAGAATAAAATGAATCAATGTAATCACGATGTTGAAGTTCATTGTCTACTTGTAAAATATTGTGAAGCTTAATTTTAGCAATTTTAAATTTTCTGTAGTTCTTAATAAGTTAAACGTCCCATGAGACCCTATCCTTCAATATGCTGTAAGCGGAAATAGGTTGTTTCCCTAGAAAAAAAAACCATTTCAACTTATAAAATCATAAAAAATATTTAAAATATACACCTTTGTTATATTACGATACACTTTTATTTTGAATAATTTTAAATAATTCTAGAAAGATAAGAATTAATATTTGATGTAAAAAAACATTTAACACGACATTAAACTTCATAGAAAACCGACTTGAATTCGACTTCTTGGAAACTACCCTATTCAAATTTAGCGAAGTATGTACTCAGTACATGCATTAATATAGTTCGAGAAAAAACATCGCTTGTGTTCATTACTTTGTTGTAACATTGCACAATGACTTTATCTATCCTCAACATGTAAGTGGTATACTCGGTTTACTGCTTATCAGCAGCACTGCATTATCAGTTCTACATAATTCTCGAAAAAACTTCTACATAGATCTTTGTTCCATTTCTGCAGTCCACAGCTGTTTATCTAGGCGTCAGTGTGTCGCTATTGACAGGGAGATGCGTGGGCGCATGTTCGGTTCACTGTCCACTTATCCAGTGATACATTCCGTAAAGCTTCCGTTCCGAAGCGAGTACACCCGTGGCCACACATCCGCATCGATTACGTGTGACTCAGATAAAAAAAACAACTCTAAACTTTGTTATTGTTTTTAAATGATAAGATCATATTTTTACAAAAATATCGACATTGTTTTTTGCTTGCTATTCAGTTATTGTTTTATATTTTATCCTAAGTGGATTTCAGTGGACGCTTTACTATGAATTGTGTATAAGAAAATATGGAAACAATTAACAGTAAGTGGGGAGAGCCAAGCTTCAGCACGAATGGGACGGCTCGACCGGAGTGATACCACCGCCTCACAGAAAACCGGCATGAAACCACCACAGCATTGTGTTTCGCCGTGTAAGTGAGGCTACCGGAGGCCCAATCCCTCCCTCTACCCCATTCCTTCCTAATCCTTAAATATCCTAAACTTTTATCCCTAACAGGCCGACAACTCTTTTGATATTGCGGGTGTCCAGGGGCGGCGTTGATAGCTTCAGGTAATCCGTCTGCTCGATTGCCGACCGACCATAAAAACCAGTTAAATTGGAAGGGAAAAGAATCTTTAGTAATTTGTGCTATGAATATGCAAGTTTTTCACATTGTGAAAAATAACTGTTACGAACGTAAAACTCATTGAAAATAACAGTTTGTAATAAAAACTTTATTAAATTAATAAAATTTTCATAATGTAACAATATTAGTTCTTAATGTTAATTGTCGAAAAATATTTCTCCTTATAATCAAATCTCAATGGAGTTATAAAGAAACTTAGATAAAAGTTGTAAATCAAGAGATATCGTCTTTCTATTATATGGATAGAAAGACGAATCAGAAACATTTATTGAAATAAATTAATAAAAATAGCTTGCATTAAAATAGAATAAAGCTTTCGTCTCATAAAAAGATCAATGCGACTTAATTGTTAATCGCTACGAAAATATTGTAGGTTATTAATAAGTAGGATCAACATTACAGCTAAATGGACGCCATACTCTTGGGTTGCGTTACTTCACGCCAATATCGCGTGACGTCACCACGGTAGCTGTACGAGTCACTGCAGTGGTCTCATTAGCCGTTCTGGCCGCAGTACCCACCTTCCTTATAGTAGTTGTGGTCGTCGTCTTTGAAATACCACCATTGGCAAGTTTCTGGACATCAGTATTAGACCTTACTTCTTCAGTAGCTGCCTGTTTTTTCTCATGAGCTGTGGCATTCCTCACATTCTTTTCAATATTTTGTTCGTAACCGTCCCTTTTAATCACTTCGTTACTTCTCTCCTCTGAACACCGGGCACCTCTTTCTCCTTGTTCAGTTGTTCTAATAACTCCGTTTTCAACTGGAATGACGTCACTGTTCTGGTAGTTCTCATAAAAGCCGTTTCCATCGATCTTTTCGATGGTGTAGGATCCACGGCGCACGGGCTTCTCAGAAATCCACACAATTTCTTGGGTAAGTGTTTCTTGATGCTGAACAGGTTCGGGTGAAACCGTTGTACTTCTAATCTCATTGTCATGTCTTACCTGCGTGACATGAGCACGCGAGTCATAGACTTGATTAGTCTCGTTAGTATCAACAATATTTTCGTGATCAACTGTTCTATTGTTTTCAATTTGATTCGGGACCTGTTTTGTAACAGTTCTTTGAACTTGTGTGACTTTAACTTCCTTAGTAGTATTTGTGGATGAAGTGGTTCTCTCCGTCGCACGAGGTTCTAAAGGTCTCAGTTGTCCTAACAAAGGCGAGTGTTTGATGCCGAAGGTTATTTGCGGCGTTTTGTTCATCTGCACCTGTAACCCCCAAATAGGAAAATTAAAACTAATAAATAGGTAAATTACTTTAATGCTTTAGTTGTATTGAATTATGCAGGTTTACTTATTTTCTGTCATTAGATATTACGGTTAAATAATATAATTTTGTCAGAAACAGGATTTTATATTTGTTGACCTGGACGTTGTAAGGATATATCTAACTATTTATACCAATGGAATTTACCTTTTCGGGGGAGTAGGTGCCAGGCGCGGGAACTCGCGTGCGGTCGTCCACAGGCACCTTATGACGTCCCGATATCGTGTACACCGGAGTGTCCAACACAGACGGGATGCGGTATGAATTCGGAGCTGAAAAAGGTAAGGTAAAGTATTGAAATACCGAAAACTACGTTACTGTCCAACCAGTGTTATTCGAATGAAACCACATTTTGTTATAATTAATTTATTCACTTATTCTTCTAGTCCTTCAGTTAAATGTTAAATCCCCCAATAAAATTTGTTAATTTTAAGTATATTATCCAATGGTTTTTTATTAGTTGTATATCCCGTCATGCTTTGTTACTGTGATTAGTAACACCACTTTATTTGCGTAACTAACTCACCAGGGGTTTCAGCGAATTTAATTGTTTGTATTTTAATGCCAAAAGTGTGCTGTGGAGAGTAAGTCAAAATGAACTTGTAACCCTTTTCGGGGTTGTAAGTTCCTGGAGCTGGGACCTTCAGCCGCTCATCTATCGGTTCCTTATGTCTACCCGAAATTGTATACAACGGGGTTTCCACGGGCGTCGGTATATTATAGGAATTCGGAGCTAAAATGTATTTAGGAAAAAATGTAGTATACGTTTAGAAATAGTAAACATTAATTATAAATGGCAATTACCTGGAGTGTCAACTGGTTTCGCGATGTCAGTCTTTACTCTGAACGTATATTGAGGAGCGGAATGCAGCAACACTTTGTCAGCTTTATCAGGATTGTAGCTGTTGGGTGCAGGAACATCTTCTGGCTTATGAGGGTTTGTCTTGATTCTGAACGAGTATCGCGGTGCACTATCTAACAAAATCCTATCAGCTTTTTCCGGACTGTACACATTAGGAGCAGGATTATCATTTATTTTAGCATCCTTGCCTCTTGGGGCCAAAGAGTAGGCTGGAGAGTGACCATGTGTAACAACATCAGCTTTTTCAGGATTGTAAGCATTCGGACCTGGCGTATTAGGTATTTTATCATTAGCAATCTTTGGTCGGAATGTATAACACGGGGCATGTTCATGTGTTACGCCGTCAGCTTTTTCTGGATTGTAAGCGTTTGGAGCTGGATTGTTTGATGGCTTTTCAGCTGGACCTTTTGAGCCAAAAGTATACTTAGGAGCACCATCTAACATGTAGTCGTACTTACTGGGATCGTATGCATTAGGACCAGGTGTATCTTCAGGTTTATGTAATGGATGTTTAGTTCTAAATGAATATGCTGGAGAACTCTCCATCAATAGTCTATCACCCTTATCTGGGTTGTATGCATTTGGAGCAGGATAGTTTTCAACTTTTCCCGGTTGCCCCTTGCCAGCCATTGTGAATTTCGGAGTACTACTCAAAATATGAGGATCGTACTTGTTAGGTGCAGGATTGTCAGAAACTTTAGAGTCTGGTCCTTTACCACATATGGTATATTTAGGTGTATTGGAAGGTAGATGTGGATCGTAGACATTGGGGCCTGGAGTGTCAGAAGGTTTCCCATAAGCTCCTTTACCAGACATTGTGTACTTCGGGGAATTTGTAGGTAAATGGGGATCATAGTAATTCGGCCCTGGTGTGTCAGAGGGTTTTCCATCGTGCCCTCTACCAGCCATAGAGAATTTTGGTGCATCGTCAGGTAAATGGGGATCATAGCAATTCGGCCCTGGTGTGTCAGAGGGTTTTCCGTCGTGTCCTTTACCAGCCATAGAGAATTTTGGTGCGTCGTCAGGTAAATGGGGATCATAATAATTTGGTCCTGGTGTATCAGAGGGCTTTCCATCATGACCTCTGCCAGCTAAAGAGAATTTGGGGGCATCGTCAGGTAAATGAGGATCATAAGCATTGGGTGCCGGTACGTCTGATGGCTTAGCATTGTGAGGTCTTCCCGAAATTGTAAATTTTGGTGTCCCATCTAGCAGGTGGGGATCATAAGCATTGGGCCCCGGTGTCAAAAAAGTTTTGGGGTCGTGGCCTTTTCCGTATAAACTAAATTTGGGCGTACCATCTATCAAATGTGGATCATAATTGTTAGGCGCTGGTGTGTCACTAGGCTTATCCGAAGCAATTTTTGGTCTGAAACTATAAGCAGGCGATGATTCGTGGAGAAGTTTGTCAGATTTATCAGGATTATAAGCATTTGGAGCTGGGACATAGTCGGTTTTAGGAGTATGACCTTTTCCAGCTAAACTAAATTTGGGCGTACTGTGAAGCATTTTTATAGAATTCTCTGGTGCATAGACGTTAGGTGCTGGCGTATTGTCAGGTTTATGCACTTGATCTTTTGTTCTAAACGTATAGGCCGGTGACGACTCGTGAAGAATTTTATCAGCTTTGTCAGGGCAATACGCATTAGGAGCTGGAGTACTCTCAATTTTTTCATTGTGTCCTTTGCCACTCATGGTGAATTTTGGAGTACCATCCAACATGTGAATAGATTTTTCTGGTGCGTAAACATTAGGAGCTGGAGAATCACTCCTTACAACAGATTGATCTTTAATTCTGAATGAATAAGCTGGTGAACTTTCATGTAGAACTTTGTCAGCTTTCTCAGGGCAATAGCTATTTGGTGCTGGAGTTTGTTCTAACTTGGAACATACTCCTTTACCTGAAATTGTATATTTAGGTCCACCATTTAGCATGTGTATAGATTTTTCTGGTGAGTAAACATTTGGAGCTGGTGTTTGTTCAAATTTTTCTACTACTTCTTTTGACCGCATTGTGTACGCTGGCGAACTTCCATGCAGTATTTTATCAGCTTTTTGAGGAGTGTAATAATTAGGGCCTGGCGTAACTTCATGCTTTTCAGCTATCCCTTTACCAGCTAAGGTATATTTAGGTCCATTCTTCAACGAATGGAGAGATTTTTCCGGTGAGTAAACGTTAGGTGCAGGTGCATTTTGAATTTTAATAATTTCTGTTTTAGTTCCAAATGAGAATGCAGGCGACTTTTCTCTTAATACTCTATCAGCCTTTTCAGGGCAATAAGCGTTAGGTGCAGGAACTTGCTCTGTCCTTTCGAACTTCATTTTTCTTGAAATTGTGTTTCTTGTGATTTTGTCGCGCACTTTCTTGGTACCCTGGAATTATAATACCATTTATTGATTATGTGTTTTAATATGGTAAAACATGAAATGTTAATTATAATTCGTATAACAGATTAGTACCTGGTTAGTGGATGATCAGAAGAAGTAGTGTCAACATGCAATTACATAAAAACCTGCATAGTTTATAATACAAAAACATTATATAGCATGACCATTAAACATAGAAAAATGTTATAAATGGGTTATGTTAAAGTTGTACCTTTTGATAATATATAATTTTATTGTTAAACTGATCATTTAGAAGAATATTTTAATAATGAATTTTATATACATCACAAAATAAATAAATACACTAGAACGATGACAGTTCTTTGCTCTGATAAAGCATGGCGATGAATGGTGAATTTGATGATTTTTTTCTTGTTAATGTTCGGTTAGATGGCGGCGATTCCTTCTGGTGCAGGGCTGAGGACGGCTTGTCCCGCGTACTGCGAGTGCCGGATGCCGAACGTATGCGCAGGCGCCCACGGTAGATTCACGCACACCTGCCACCCATCCCCATGTTAGTTAATGATGATATAAGTATAAATACCTCTAAAGCATTAAAAAATGATAAGAAAATGTTATAATAAAAGAGTATTTCACCAATTTAATTGATTTAGATGGCCTCAAAATGAGATAACACTTCAATAAATTGTCGAAATGAACATTAGTAGGCGCAAGGTTGATGTTGTTAAATTGTTAGTTGCAAATTCGCGCCCACTAGCCATTCAACCCTTCAGTGCGGGCGTTACCGGCACTGAAATTAGTTCCGCGTGGAGTGAATTTAAGAAGCATTCATGTCTGACATTAATTTATGCATAACATTCACGAGCGCGCTGACATCACTCGCCGAGCCTCGACGCGGACTATTTCACACAAGTTTACAGACAATGATTAATGCAAGCAATAAAATAAGACAGGACAACACCTACAGTATGGCCACAGTTGTTTTTCATCATTTAAGTGCCATTCTTTGTAATAATTTTATTACTATTAAATATACAAGGACGATGATGATGCAATTTTCGAAGAATTCATAAAAAAACATTACCTTTTCAGGGCAATAGACACCGGGTCCGGGAACGATGGCTGTCGGAGGTTTGGACTCTCGTCTTGGGGCGATGGTGTAAGCAGGAGGGCGCTTTGTGAGCACTGCAGAGGCTTTGTCTGTGGTATAGGTGCCGGGCCCCGGCAACGGGATCTTCGACTCCAATGTTTTACCACGGCCTGTGATGCTAAAGGCTGGTGCTGCGCGTTTCCCACCCTCCTTTGCTTCTCCAAGCACAGGGGGCATAGAATATGTGTTCGGTGCTGAAAATAATACGATAAAAAGTTTAAATAGGGCCAAGGATTTCTAACCACATATCTATATAGGCACAATATTTATATTATAATAAAATGTCTCATAAATAAAATCCGTACCACAAATATGAATAATGCTACATTACAAAGCAGATAATTAAGTCATAGTGTAACAAAACAATGTGTCACAAAAATATTGTAGGCATAAAAAATATTGATGACATCAGGCATCAAACTTAAATCGACGTGGCTTTACGAAGAGATTTATGCAGAAAAGCTATCCAAACGTTCATGAACAAGCTGCAACCTCTAAATCAGCATGATGACGTAATAAAAACAAAACAGCCAAATGAATCAAAATAAACGGCGATCTATAAAATGAACTGTTTAGTGCACTTGACATAAGTTGCTCTTAAGATTATGATAGTCGTATACTAAAGAGCGCATTGTATCAATGAGGAAAAAAATCGCAAAACAACAGCTAAAAATGAAACGGTGATAATGATAGTACTTAAGTTTAATTATGTTTACAAATTTACTTGTACGTGGTTCTGACAACGGCTATCATTACAAGGAGATTAAGGTCATAATTGCATCAACGTGATTTTAGATAGGTAGGTACATATGGACAGCAAGTCAACTTTACAATATTTTTTAATGCTTTGTTCCACACTACGGATTTCTCTTATGTTACGCTTTCGGTCAGTGTACTCAGTTCCACCGGCCGCACGTGCACCGATTTAGCAAGGTAAGTTGATTTTTTTAGATTTTGATGTAAAAATTGCATTTTTCAATTAGCCTACAGTTTGAGTAGATTTGTAATAAGGTGATCTTATGATAACCACATGAAAACTGATATATGATTAAACGAATAACAAAGTAAGCCAACTGTTTCTCAAATTTATAACCTTTAAATTATTCGATTTTCTTGTAAGTACCAAAAAGGCAAAACGGACCCAGGCAGAACGGACCGGTGTACCATTTTGCCTTCACTGGGACCGTTTTGCCTTCTATAAAGTAATGTGAATGTTAATAAATCTAAATGCAATAAAAATAGAAGAAAATAATGTTTTCATTTATTTTTTTGATTTGGTTTCAGATGGTAAATAATTATAAAGAAAATCCAATCGAAATTCCTGGGATGAAGCCAGCATGAAAAAATGCAATCGAGAAAGTGGCAGCTGGAGAAATGGGCCTCAATAAGGCTTCTCATCAATTCCTGGTACCAAAGACTACTCTGAAGAGAAAATTAGAGAAATATAAGGCTACTCAAAATATTGATACAGCCACACATAAGAAACTGGGTAGATTCGAACAAGTTTTTACTAAGGCTCAAGAGACTGAATTAGCTGCTTATGTGAAACAGATGGAAAGTCGTTTGTTTGGATTAACCACGGAAAATCTAAAGAAGTTGGCATATGATCTAGCTGAGAGAAATAACATAAGTCACAATTTTGATACTTGCAAGAAGATGGCAGGTAGAATTTGGTTAGAAAACTTTTTAAAACGTAACCCAGATCTTAGCTTGCGTAAACCTGAACCAACATCTGCAGCCCGAGCAGCTGGCTTCAATCAAGTTGCAGTTAATAATTTTTTTGATTTGCTGTCACATGCAATTGAAGCTTATCATCTGACTCCAGATAAAATTTTTAATGTGGATGAGACAGGAATCACAACGGTCCCCAAGAGTGTATCAAGAATTATTGGCACAAGAGGGAAAAAACAAATCGGCTTATTAACTTCTGCTGAGCGGGGTCAACTAGTCACTGTAGTGTTTTGTTTTGGAGCAGATGGGTCCTATATGCCACCTCTGTTTATTTTTCCCCGTAAAAGGATGAAGTCTGAATTGATGAATAATGCACCTCGTGGATCTTGGGCTGAGTGCCATGAGAGTGGCTGGATTCAGAAAGATATTTTTACCTCTTGGTTTCGGAAATTCATTGTTTTTTCTAGAGCTTCCAAAGACAACCCGGTGCTGTTGATATTAGATGGACATAAAAGTCATACTATGAATCTTGACATTATTGATCTAGGGCGAGAGAATGGAGTCCAAATTTTGGCAACCCCACCGCACTGCACTCACCGTCTCCAACCACTGGATGTGGCTTTTATGAAACCTTTGTCAACATATTACTCGGAAGCAGCACAGAATTGGTTGAGGATGAACCCAGGAAAGGTTATTACACAATTTCAGATTGCAGAATTGGTTGACAGAGCTTTTCAGAAAGCTGCTACAATGACAACAGCTTTCAATGCCTTTCGTGCCACAGGAATCTGGCCTTTAAATCGTGATATATTCACAGAAGCTGACTTTTTAGCAGCAGCAACTACTGACATCGGGCTACCGAATCCAAGTTCGAACCCGTATTCCTCGACAGATGTTTCAAGCGCCAAAGATCCTCAGCCGTCAACATCAAAAGCTAGTCAGCCCTCACCACCAGTTTTGAGCACCGAAGATCTTCAGCCCTTAGTATCACGAGATAACCAGCCCTCGACATCAAGGGCTAACGAGGCAGCAAACGATGTTGAAAATATTTCAGCATCCACTACTCCTTCCATCGAGGATATTGATTCAAGGGTGTCATCGCCGTCTATATTAAATGATAGTCAAATTGACAACCAACCTGCATTGTCTACCACTCCAACAAAAAATGCTGGCGAACTAACAGCTTCACGGCCATCACTTCTGAATGAAGGTGATACTGAACTTTCCACTTCCTCTACAATTATGGACAATGAAACTAGCAGTGTATTTCATTTCGGACCAAAAGATATAATGCCTTTCCCGAAAACAAATAAGACTAAAAGAGCCAACGTCAAACGAGGTAAAACAGCAATTATTACGTCATCACCCTACCGCCTTGAAGTGGAAGCTTCTCAAAATAAACACGCTGAGAAGATCAAGAAAGCACTTGTTTTCCAGAAAGACATGAAACCTACAAAAACAGAAGAAAAAAGTAAGACAGGAAAAAAGAAAATCAAGAAAACTTTACGAAAAATTTCAAAAAAAGGAAAAGCTAGCAAGATGTCTGACGTAAAAAGGTCAAAAACTAAAAACAATTATAGTTCATCTGAGGAAGATGACACTGAGTGTCTGTACTGTTCTCATTTGTACTCAGAATCAACCGGGGGTTGGGTGCAATGTCCAGTATGTCGTTTATGGGCACACTGCCTTTGCGCAGGAGTCGAAGATTAGGTGTGTTTACAACCTTATAATTTCATATAAGTACCCCACACAGACCTGGACAAATAATTTTTAGACTACACAAAGAATTATTTCATACGAGAATCGACCCGCGACATGTTACACAGCTGACTGCGTCAATAGTCCAATGAAATCCAATCTCTAAAGGAGTAAAAATATGTCCATATATTTCGTTAACTTTTTTATTTTGCATATTAATTTCTATTTTTAATTTATAAATTGGTACAAGTTGATGTGCTGTCGTTTCTATTTTCAAATTCTACTATAGGTATAGCCAAAGACAAAACAGCATGCTAAAGTGAGGAGATCTAGCGTCTTGCAAGAGCTATGAATACAGCAAGACTTGCGTTGCATGAACATTGTTTTAAGATACAGCTAATCTACTCCAATATGTCATACTGTAAGAGATTTTCAGTCTATTCATTACGCAATAGAGTTTGAAAATCATGGAGCTGATAGTGGCCTTACAATCTGTATTTTCAAGTTCAACTACATGGCCAAAGGCAAAACAACATGCTACGTTAATATTTAAACACCTGGCGTTTTGCCGCCTGGTTGTGGAGGGTTCACTCGTAGGCCGATGGAGAAAGCCGGAGCGTGATCGTAGACGGCCCGGACGGCTTTGATCGGCTCGTAGTCGCACGGCGCGGGAGTCGGTGCGACGCGCGGTGGGGGCCAGCGACCGTGCAGGGACGCCGCCGGAGCACCCGACCGCCCTGCTTGTTCCGTCAACCGCGACATTGTATATAACTATTGTTATACCCTATTTATCTTTTATGATTATGATTGCCTCATAATCTTAGGAGTTGCGTTTAGTAGGTATCTTAGATATACTTGCATACTATATAATATAATATCATGTATCATCTTGTAACAACATGCCAAAAAACACGAATGGTAGGAAAATGATGTTACCTATTAATCGTAAATATAATTTCAGACGACACGCATTCTAAACAAGACAATACTTTCACAAAATACACATTAATATTAAGTATTTCGAAAATTAAATAAATTACTTTGGGTTTATTAAAATTATAAGAAAAATAATCCAGTTCTGGTAAAAATATTCAACTGCACTATAATGATTTAAAGCTTCGATTTCATGACATCAAAACTGACTTGCGTGAAGTCAAAACGGTAATAAAAATGAGGCACTAATTATCCTATAAATATTCAAAACATATAGCTTGCAAACTATATAAGTATATTTTGTTAAAGATATTCAATAGAAATATGACATCAGAAAGCTCCATAAATGTATAAGACCAGCATTTATTTTAAATCCCATCTTTAAAAAGACACTTTAAAAATATTAACAAAACACACAAAAACATCATCAGAAAACATGTTAAAATAAATGCTACTCGAATTCATCATTGCTAAACACCCAATTGAAAATAATCATGCACTGATATTTAATGTAAACACATTAAATATTAGTGCATAATCTACCTATTAAATAAACAATGCATTCATCAAATGATGGGCAATTCACACGACTTTCTCGTTTAGGTAACTGTCCACCAATAAAACAACAAATAAAAAGAAATCACAAATAAAAAAAAATGCAATATAAATAAAGTAATAATTTTACCAGATAAATCGGATCGTCCAAGTTAAAACTGAAACACTGCACTCAAGATCCCTCTAGCACTGTTAGCCTAAACACAACTTGTTGGAACAAGCCCTAGGTACGGTGTAGTGGTGAGCAAGTTGGATGCGCGACTGAGCCTGTATGGGACAAACGCAGGGTCCAAACGGAGCACCTACACGACGAACGACTCTGACTCACCGTCGATCACCTTCGCACATACGGACTTATTTGGAGACATCGACCAAATGCAGCCGCTCTCCAAGAACCAGCAACTGTTCGAACATCCAATGCCAAAGTAATCGACCAATTAAGATAAACAACTTACACGTATCTATCTATCTACATAAGGAATATTCATTCTTGATTTTATAAAATAAATGTACTGTATTTATTTTTAATTAGGACCACGTTTATGGATATTTTTTCTAACGACAAGCTGTGACGTAGCGAAATTGATAAATTGTACGCGTGTGATGTTTTCATATTTTATTTGAAGGCTAATGTTTATGCGTAATTCATATAATATGTTATAGGAAGATAAATACAATTTATTTCCCGCCTACGTAATAGAGGTTTTCAATCAATGACACAGCTAGCTAGCGGATTGAATTAATTGAGAATGAATGTGCAGATTCGTCAACGATTGAAAAATCGCATCATTTTCATTAGGCAAAAAGCGAAACATAATTTATATTCTTTAGCAGAGTATATATTACAATTACTAGGTAAGTATATACATATATACTTAAACAATAAGGAAAATAGAAACAGTCACGTAAGTTCTTTAAATGTTTTAAGTGCCTAAGTAAACAGGTATAAAATAATACTGCAGACGACATCGTTATGTAAATTAGACTGCAGTCATGACCTACTAAAAGATTATTTGTCGCAACATGAATCACGCTATTATGCCCTTAACATTTTTCTGGAAGACAGTGCATTTATTGCAATACACGATGGCATTTCACCAACATGCTTAAGAGTTTACTTTTTGTCTACTTGGAAATTAAAATGTTGGGAATACCATTATACAAATACGATTGCAAACGATCAAGCCAAGACAAACAAACCAAATACTGCGTTTAGACCGTGGGCGGCAGACTGTATAATTGCCTATAGGAAGATAAACTGTTTGCTCGAGCACAGGCAGCGCAAGCAATTATCCAGTAAACGACAATTGTAGACAACTACCCACGATTCTATTATACGAGGCAAGAACAAGTAATTCGATTGCTACACATGCGAGTCCCCAAGCAAGATGTGCTTCATTGGATATGTGGCATCTACCTTGTAGGCGAGGCCAGCTATTTAAAATCGATATAATATAGTATGTGCCACGCCACCGGTCAAACTTTAACCTTCACCGTATGATACAGTTAAGTTAGTCTACGAATTAATTTCAACTGATAGTTCTATTTAAGTTAACCAAATTGAAAATAATATCAACCATCTTTGATAGACACGGAAAACGACCGCTTTGACGCCCAAATCATGTGACTGTCGTAGGCAGGCGATTTGGTAAGTAGTTTCGGCAAAATATTTGTTCGACACGCAAACATTTATGAGTTTAATGGCATCGATTCACTTGAAACTGGGAACTAGCTATAAAGAAAAACTTTTTATGATTTTGTGTTGAGAAGTTACAAAGTATCACTGACCTTTAGCTGTCATTCCTTCTGTGTTGTATGTGGCAGGTCCAGGACCAGCCCTGGAGTTGTTGCCGGGTGGATCAAGCTTATGGCCAAACGTGAAAGCTGGAGCGCGAGGTCTGCGAGATTCTTGTGGTGGTTTACCTGTTAAAAACAGTTATTAGATACTATACCTTATTGCCCATTATTTCCATTAAAAAAAAACAAAATATGCTGTACTATAACTCTTTTCTATGGTAAAGGAAACAGACTGAAGCCAGTTATAAATACCTACTTACTTAGGGCTGATTTTTCAATAGTCAGATAAATGTTATCTAAGGAATAAAATTGTTGATGTCTCTAATACAAATATTCTGACGCGACAGCATCATAATTATTCCCCAGGCAACTTTTATCTAACCATTGAAAAATCAGCCTTTAGTAAAATTAGGTAGGTACATTAGAAAAGACAAATGCTATCAACAATCATTTAGGCGCTCAATTACCCTGTAAAGACTCTCGCGGTACCTCATCAATCGCCAATACGTAAATAAGCGTCAAACTGCTAAGAAAATCAATGTGGCATGCATCATGCTTACATCATAAGTGCACGATAACATTCTTTAATGTATTTTAAAAATGGAACGATAATGAATATTATTAAATATTATTATGCTGTTCTCTTTTGTATAAAACATCTGCCATTTTGTTGCTCAATAATAATGTGCCAAAAATATAATAAAAAAGTACTTAGAGACCTATATTGGAACGTAATTGATTGGTACATTCATAATCCCTTGTGTTTTGCAAGAGTAAGAAATGCATGTATGTAATCACATTACTGTGAGTGTATCAGCATATATAAATACACCTGAGATTTCTCAATACGTTCCAATATATGTAGGTATGTAGCAGAAGTATATTTTCGTAAAATCCTTGTCATATTTTCTCTTGAAACTCTTTATGGAAAGACATTGAACAATCGGAAGTTGCTTATTTATTACCTACTTTTATTCCGACACATGTTAATTTGTACTTACTTTTTGTGTACATTTTTATAAATTTATTTGAGGAGAATACAATAGGATGAATTAATGTAAATAACATACGATAGGTGCCAGCAATATGTATGACAGGTATTGAATGAAAAATAGATTGAAATGTAACATAAAAGGTAACACTAGGTCCTACTAAAGAGGTAATAAATAGACGCTTGGTCAATGTCGCACCATATTGTGTATCACACGCACTAATAGAGCTCACCTTGGCCAGGGTCAATGTTTTCGCCCACGCCACGCTCTTACCAACACTCCAGTATATACACACCATACCGACGCAAACATTCAACAGAAACACTTTTAAAATCGTTTCTAACAAACAATCGGAACGACCATCACTTGTCATTAAAAAGGTGCAAATGCAATACGTGATATAAACTAATCTATAATACTCACATATTCACACAATCCATAGAAAACGTACAAAACACAATTTAAACCAATCTATTTAACTTACTAATGAAACTATAAATAAATGTGTGAAGTTATTTTGTGAATAACATTATAAGTATGATCTCACTTTGTATATCAACAGAGCGGACGAGCAAGGCCGGTGCTAGCGGCGCGCAAGCGATAATCTCACAACTCAAAACACAACCTCTATTGGAGTGGGAAAGGTGACGTAAGCGCGAGCGCACGAGACGTGAACAATACCGGATGAAAAAACACGACAAGAAAGAAATGACCGACACCATGCAATGTACGGACTGTGTGTACGGACCATGCAAACAAATGTAACTACGTAATATTATATATACACATGACACATTAGCAAATAATCTCCTTTTAACATTTAAAATACAGGAATACCAATCCGCTCAAAAATTCTGCTACACAACAGAAACAACTCGCGTGTTTACCTTATTAAAATTTCACGTGACATTCGTCTTAGAATAAATTATTATTTAATGTTAATAATTCACTTGGTATCTTCCACTACTATCTACGTATAACTAGGTAGTTTGATAAATCATTTTGATCGCTGTCATTTGTTGAAATTGACTTTTTTCAATTTATTTAAAAAACTAGTTTCGTGTCGTCTATTCTAAGACATGATTTGCGTTTGAATAGGTGTATGCAAGGTCTACTAGTAACTACTACTGTGCTGTGTTTAAGAAGTCTGGCTATGATTTTACCTATAAGCGTGGGGAGTGATACGACCGCAGGACCTGGACTTGAGGCCTCAGCTGCGATAGGACCTCGACGAGTTGTTGGGGTCCAAGGGTTCTGCCGAACGCCCATCGGACTCTCGCACCGTTGCCAAGTCTTTGATACCGATGATGAAGCGCGTTCACCTTTTGATGGTCTCAAATTTCCCTAAAATATGTTTTTTCTATGTAAAACAACGTGATGAAGGAAAGTTTTGTACAATCTTAACTTACTATTCCGAAACAGATGCCAATTCGGTCTATTTATTTATTCTGATAAGGTAGGCTCGGAGCGTATGTATATAAAGTAGTTAGAAGTATTCGTTACATGTAGTAGTAGGTCTTATACATTAGCCATTTACGAGCTAACCAACATTCTTTAAATTAGGTACCTACGGTTATAAAATCTTTAGATCATATTTACATTACTTTGTCTCGATTGTGTGCAAAGTTTCTCAATTTCATTATTAAGGCCTACAAGGGATTTTTTTAAATGTCCTGGAATCAGTTTTATTCAAATAATATAGGAAAATAGACATAATTACTGGGACACTAGGTGTCATTTTGGAATCCGACGGCCCAGTCTGAAACGTAGTCACTCCGGACGTTTTCACGTTCATTTCTTACAACAGTTTAAAATACCACCACACGGTTAAATTAATAATTAAAATATAAATTTGTGTGTACAACGTTCCTTTTATCTAACACGAATCATAATAGTAAATTATAATAAAAAAGAAGTTTAATCAATTCTCAATAAAATTATATTATTTATGTGTATATTGCGTCAAAATTGACAACTAAAAACGATATTGCTTGTATTTTATGACAGGAGCGAAGGTTTTCAATTGACTACGAGTTATATTGTTATGTACCTATGGTAAGTAACAAAACTTTTTAGATATTTGAGTAAATAGTTTGCGGGATTATACTATACTATCTACTCTCGCGCAGTATCACCCGCTGCTCGGCCCCATTTGATCGTAGCGTGGTGTTTTATAGCCTATAGAACTCAGGAACATTGTAGCTATCTAAGTATCAGTCAACGAATTTTAGCAATCCGACCAGCGGTTCATACATACAAACTTACAATAAACTTACAAATTTTTCTTAATATTAGTATAGATATAGATTATGAGCATGACATTAGATTTACCAAAACTTTTTCTTCAGCAGTAACCTCCTGCATTAATTGTAATTATATATTTTTTTATGGTATAAGTCGGCAAACGACTGCACGATTGGTGCGGTGGCTGGGCAACTGGCTGCCGTGCAACGTGTCGCGGGTTCGATTCCCGCACGGAACAATACTTTGTGTGATCCACAAATTGTTGTTTCGGGTTTGGGTGTCATGTGTATGTGACATTGTATGTTTGTAAACGCACCCACAACACAGGAGAAAATCCTAAAGTGGGGCAAAGTTTTTAAAAAAAAAAAAAAAAAAAAACGAGCAGACGGATTACCTGATGGTAAGCAATCGGCGCCGCCCATGGGCACCCGCAACACCAAATGAGCTACGAGTGCGTTGCTGGCCTTTTGGGGATATGGGTTGCGGATAAAAGGATCGGGAAGGAATAGGGGAAGGGGAGGGATTGGGCCTCCGGTAACCTCACTCACACGGCGAAACACCACGCTGGGTTGTTTCGCACCGGTATTCTGTGAGGCCGTGATATCACTCCGGTCGAGCCGACCCATTCGTGCCGAAGCTTGGCTCTCCCACATTTAATCCATACTAATATCTAGGTATACTAGTCAAAAAGACCATTGGAATCGTCTTGATCTGAAGTGAATACCACGTCTAAATAAATGCGTATTACTTGGAATATCTCGGCTAACGAGCAGACGGGTCACCATAGTCGCCGCTGAACATAGACACTCGCAACACCAGAGGAACTAAAAGTGTGTGTTGCGAACCTTTTAGAGTACGGGGTCCTATCCTCCTTAATATTTAAGTACCTAAATTTACGATATCTATACGTTGTTGGCTAAAAATCAAGAACAATTGGATTGGTGCTTTACTAGAGAGGTCATCAGTAAACGGAAGGATGAAGTCATTCAAAAAAAAAACCTGCAAATCCGTTTATCGTTTTCAATGACGACAAGCCTAAAGATTTTTACTTCATTTTCGAAGGTAAACTTCTTACTATATAGACTTCACTAACATCGAAAGGGTAAACCAATTAAAGAATCGTTACTGCAAATATTACTAACCTTCTAGCGTTTAGTCCGTGCTTTGGGCTTAAAATGCTCTATAAAATTAATCACGTTAGTCACGGTCAGATTAGATCTAAATCCGTTTATTGCGTGACAGGTTAAGGAAGATAGATACATCTAATCTAACAGTTTTGGTCATCATTCAAAAAGTCCTTAGAATAAACTCTTTGTGTGATCCCCAAATAGTTGTTCCGGGTCTGGGTGTTATGTGTGTGTGAGTTTGTATGTTTGTATATGCACCCACGACACAGGAGAAATTCGTGTGTGAGGCTATTTATTTTCTTAAAAAAAAAGGAGGAGATATGTATTTCTTTCACATAAAAACAACGAACGATTTGAATGAAATTTGGAACAAAGACTTATAAGCACAGATAGATTATTGTATGGAATAAAGCACAGTTCACAGTACTGGACTAATTTTTACCCTAGTACTGTGAACGAATCTGCTGCAGAAGCCAGTAGGACATACTTAGGTTAGATACCCTAGGTAGGTCGCCATATAACTTTGGTACCTGACCACGCCACGGAGTAGTAGTTGAATTGGTTCTTTTTAGTAAAATTCTTCCAAAAATACAGTAGGAAACGGCCTACAAAAGATTGTTGTAGCAAAAATATTCGTCCCACATACTTATGGATCTTCGCCTTAAACGGCTGCGTTCTGTTATTTCGCAAATGTCTCAGTATCGTAGAAAGTTGTTACTCCTTTTAGAGCTTACGTGACATAAGTTAAAATGCTGGTCGTACC